AATAAATATATTATAATAAAAAAATTAGGAAAGCATGAGATTCTCTCATATCCTATTATATATTGAATTTTCTAAAACAAGCAAATTTAGGTTAAAACTTAAAACCTTTTTGGGGTCCATTTTTTTAATTTTTAAACGATTTCATTGGAATCGCAAAATATTCACATATGACAATTTGTTAGTGCTTCGTATTGTATATATGTATGTAAGTTTGTCCACGCATTTCTCCGTAATAATTAATCGGACCGTGATCGTTCCTTTTTCATTTGCTTACATTTATTTAAACTTAGCAATAGTAAAGATTTCATCAAAATCAGTTCAGTAGTTTTTATGATATGGAGTAAAACGTGTAACTAAAACTGAAATAGTTTTTGTAATTACTATTTATTACAAAAAATATTTTTTTGTATTATTTAACACAATCGTCAATAATAAGACGATACAGCGCCATCTATCGGCATTTACTAGAACTAATTTTTCTTTGATTCCTATGAGACCCTACGAATTAACTATTACAATAAACTAACGAATTAAATAAACTAAATTAATAAAATAATTGCATTTCGAAGATATCTTTAAAAAAAAGTAATAGTAGAGAAATGAGAAAATTTGCGAGATGGTCACGAAATGTTTTAATCGTGGGCCTTAATCTAACTTTAGCACTGGGTCATAGAGTATATTAGGTATATCTACAGTATGTATGCCGTGGCGATCAAGGCCTGTCAGGTGAAACCCATGGTCCCATGGGAAACCTAATTAACGCCTAATCCTAAGGTACACTCGCAATAACTATTTATATCTGTATAAAACAAACCCAGATACACACCCGAGCGAAGCAAGCTGTCGCTAGTTACTTATACCGCCATCTAGTAGCGAGTAGTATAATAGAGTGAAAAAAAATAACTCTCACTCGATTAACCTTTTATTTAAGCGTAAAAGCTTATTTATATTAGGTTTATATACTTTTAAACATTATAAATATTCGTAAATACTAACTTTTCCCTTGATTTTAAAGAATTGAAATATTGATATAAATCTGTTTCGTGTAAGATACAGATAATATATATGACAATTACAGTAAGAGTAAGAGAAAAAACGAAACGCAAAACGAAAACCATTACTTAAAAAATAATATTCCCACTGCACGTCCTAAATCTGATAAATAATTAAATAAATTTAACATATTTATATTATAAAATAAAATATAGTTTAATTATAATTAATAATTAACAATTTTTTTATTGAAAAATATCTTTTGACTAATATGCGATAACAAAACGCAGCCGTTCTCCGCAGCCACATGACAGGCGCCGCCAACTAGATTTGAAGGCGAGAAGACGTACCGTTTCAAATTCATGTAGATCTTGGGGCCTCGTCGTATTTACAACAAGGCAGCGTATTTAATAAAAGTGAAGTATTAGTTCCATTATATGTGCAATCATTTTAATTTTTGGCAATGTTTTATTTAATCTTTTAAAATCAATCGATCCCAGAGCACCTGTGTCATGAGACTTTAAGCTTATGTAACATTTCTGTCTGAAAATAACTTATCGGTCAGTGCTTTACATTGTTTACTACAACTAAGGTAAGAATTAATTATTATCACTAATATATTAACAGATTGTATTAATGACCTTCAATATTTGCTCGCATATGTTTGGGGCAACCTCATTTTTATCTTGTTTGTAACATATCTCACGATTTCGTATACATTTCTCTGATAAGTGATGACTTTTTGATAATTTACATGCACTTTTTTAATCAGTTAAGTTGGCAGAATTGTCACTTTACTATATACTCGTCGTAACATTCTAATTACAAATATATTTTATTTTTATATATAAGTATTAAAAAGTTTTTATATAAAAATGGTTAAATTCTTAAGTTATGAAATATATTTGATAATAGGTAACGTAACAAATATGTTACCACAAATTAGAAATACAAACTAAATCTTTCTAAAACCAGATATTACAAATAAAATTGACACTCAATTACTAATGCCACTTGAAGATTTATTTTATTTATCATCACTAAGTTGTAGTGATTGACATTTTTTACAGAATAACTGATTAGCAAAAAAAAAAAAAGAAATTATAATACAAATTTCAATTTTAACTATCACTATTGTAAATTTAAAAGACTAATACTGTTTGTGATAAAATATATTTAAAAACTAAACTTTACAAGTAATTTATTGCATAAAGATAAATAAAAACAACATTGGAATGCGTAAAAAATTATACCAAATATTTTTTATATTATACATTAAACAGCCATATTATATTTTTTTTTAATTTTATAGTTCTAATTGATAATTGAAGAAAAAAAATTAACTTATTTTGTAGGTTTACATAACTTGTTCAATAATTATTATTCCATGTTACTTTTTAATTATTAATTGTAGTTTATTCGAAGTTATACTTCTTTTGGTACGTTTGGAAAAAATATGAGAGTAGAATTTTTACGATGCGCGCGCACACCGACAGCCAAAAAGCGACATGATGAAGTTAGCTGCATTCCTTTACAGAGTTGTGACATATGGGATGAAATCTTTAACTATTTTTGTTCTGTTACACCAAAGTATAACTTCTTACATAAGGACTTACGTACACACACCTTTTTTTATTGTTAAGCACCTAGCCTTATTTGCACTGCTTGCTTATTTTTAAAAAACAAGACTATTTCAATCTAGCTTTTATACATTTTACTTATAATTTTACCTGATACTAACAACAGTGACGGTTTTCACAGTGCATTCCAAGTAATGACTATTATAGGCAAACTTTTCATTTAAGTTTACGTTAATGCAATTTTTGCAAGGATCTCTAATTATTTAAAAATAAAATATGGCCCATGTCACTCACTGATAATCTAACTTTTGATAGAAAAAAGAAGTTTTAAAATTAGTCTAGTAGTTTTTTTAGTTAATACAAACAAACATGCAAAATATTTTTTTTTATCTTTATAATATTAATATAGAAAAAAAATATTGCATTTAAGATATTAGATAATGATTACTTACATTTTTTGTCTACACGAAAGCCCTAAAGTTAATTTATTTTAGTAATAATGAAAAAAATGTTTACAATCAATCAATAAACAGTATTGTGTGTTTAGATTATCTTATCAAAATAAACAAATTATAAATAAAGAAAATCCAATTTTATTTGATTACTCTCTATTGACCAAAATTTTAAATGCACATAGTTGATTAAGTTATGTACTAAAAAATATAACCTTGACCCTCTATGAGAATGAGTAGAATGCTTGGATCTTTTTTACTGATTGTAATTTGGTTTTGAATAATAACCTACAGACTCACCCTCGCTTAGCTCTGGTTCGTTCCTAGATATACATATATATAGTGTGTTTAATTTATAGTACATTTTTTTCTTGAGCGAAACCCTAATTCTTTTACTGAAATAAAAGTAGCCTAAGTTACTCCTTATAACATTAACTACCTGCCAATGAAAGTCTCGTGAAAATCGGCCCAGCCGTTCGGAGATTAGTCAGAACAAACATACAGGCAGACAAATTTTTTAAAAATTGTTTATTTCGTAAAAAGCTGTTATTTTGACATTACAAACAGACACATCAATTTTATTTGTCTGTATAGATATCAAATATTAGCGTAAATCTAAGAAAGTATTAAGTTCTGTAATACTTACGAAATCTATCTATATCTAATATATAAAATTTCCATGTCACAATGTTAGTTACCGTACTCCTCCGAAACGGCTTTACCGACTTTTACCAAATTTTATATGCGTATTCAGTTTAGGGACGAACCCGAGCGGAGCGAGGGTGAGTCGCTAGTATGTATATAAAACAAAGTCGGGTTTGTTACAACACTTAAGTATAACTCGAGAACCGCTGGACCGATTTTCACGATCTTAAAACATCAAGGAAAAATTAAAAAATTGAATAAAATATCTATTCCATACTAAGCGTCAAAACGTACCTAAGGACGAACCTGAGCGAAGCGAGGTCGAGCCGCTAGTCTATACTAATATTATAAAGAGGTAAAGTTTGTGACGTTGTGACGTAATCTCTGGATCTACTGAACCGATTTAAAATTAAAATAATCTGAAATTTGGGACCCTGGGAAGAATATAGGATACTTTTTATCCCGGAAATCATCTCTTAAGGGGGTGAAAATGGGGATGAAAGTTTGTATGGGGAAGCAAACTAGGGATGAACCTGAGCGAAGCGAGGGTGAGTCGCTAGTAACGATATAAAACTAAAATAACTATATTTATTAACAAAATCGATTTGCAATGTCAATTACAACCTATCGAGTTCACATTACCATATAATGAAGCTATATCCCACGAACCTACTTGCGCTAGTTTAACTCTAGGTTTAGGCATTTTCTTTTACAATTAACAATATTCTAAAATTATACCTTAAAAGTAAAAGTATTAAATACGTATGTGAGTTTGTGTTTTTGTATATTCCTTTTAGTATACCATACCTACTATTTGACGTTCAGTTTGTAGTGACCCTACTTGCTGTGCCAGAGGTCGCGGGTTCGAGTCCCGCTGGTGGCATTCATTTGTATGATCAGCACGAATGTTTGTACTCCAGTCATGGGTGTTTATATTTATAATATAAAGTATATATAGTATTAAAAGTTATATATGTGTAGTGTATCAACTATCTGGTATCCATAACACAGGCCTCGTAGCTTACCAAGGAACTAGATGGTGTTGTGTGTTATTGTACCAACATATTTTTTATTATTATTTATTTTCTATTTTAAAAATATAAAGTATATGATATAGTTTAATTTCATTTGGTAGAATAAGTGTATTTACTAAGTTACACGTTCCTAAGTGGCTAATTGGATCAACTTATGACAAAACCGCAAAATAAACCAATTCAAGTTAAAAGAAACTTATATCCATACTTTATAAAAAACTAAATTAAATAGCTATAAAGAATATTTGATCTAATCCATTTATTTTCTCTTTCCAGAGTGATAACATCAAAAGAAAATGTTGCGGCGCTGCTCTAAGCACTTACAGACCATATACCGGAGACAAGGGCAAAGTGTCCGGTTCAGGTCTTCAGAGGTGCCCAAGATCTGTGGCGTGGTGTCTCCCGGGACCCGACTCCTCAAACCCAGGGTTCTGGCTGCCCACAATCAGGTCGCCACCATCCACTTCACGAACCCACTCCTAGCTGAACAGGACGTGGTTACACCAGCCTTCCCTGACTCTGTATCAGAAGGAGATGTGAAATTGGACAAGAAAGTTGGCGATGCTGTCGCAGCAGATGAGGTGGTTTTGGAAATTGAAACTGACAAAACAGCTATTCCAGTCATGGCGCCAGATAATGGTATAATTAAGGAACTTTACGTCAAAGATGGTGACACAGTAAAAGCAGGTCAAAAGCTGTTCAAACTAGAAATAACTAGTGGTGCACCCAAAAAGGAGGCAGCTGCAGCTCCAGAGAAAAAGGTGGATACACCCCCACCACCACCGCCATCTGCAGCTGCTCCTCCGCCTCCTCCTCCAGCTGCTGCTGCCCCTCCACCACCCCCACCTCCTCAAGCGCCTAAAGCATCCCCCAAACCTGCAACCCCACCACCCGCTGCCCCCGTCTCCTCAATCCCAGTCGCCGCCATCCGTCACGCTCAAGCAATCGAAACTGCCTCAGTAAAAGTTCCTCCAGCAGACTATAGCAAAGAGATCGTAGGAACTCGCAGCGAACAACGCGTCAAAATGAACCGCATGCGTCTACGTATCGCCGAACGGTTGAAGGAAGCGCAAAACACAAACGCCTTACTAACAACCTTCAACGAAATAGATATGTCTCATATTATGGCGTTCAGAAAGAAATATTTGGACGCGTTCACCAAGAAATTTGGCGTCAAATTAGGCTTAATGTCCCCATTTGTGAAAGCAGCCGCCAACGCTTTAATGGACCAACCAGTCGTAAACGCTGTTATTGATGGCAACGAGATAATATACCGTGATTATGTGGACATATCTGTTGCAGTGGCAACACCAAAAGGCCTGGTAGTACCAGTCGTTAGGAACGTACAGTCCATGTCTTACGCAGACATAGAACTGACTATCGCTGGTTTGGCAGAAAAAGCTAGAATGGGCAGACTGACGATTGAAGAAATGGACGGTGGTACATTCACAATTAGTAACGGGGGAGTGTTTGGATCTCTTTTGGGGACGCCTATCGTAAACCCTCCGCAATCGGGAATTTTAGGGATGCACGGGATCTTTGAAAGACCTATCGCTTTGAATGGACAAGTGGTGATCAGACCAATGATGTATGTAGCGCTGACATACGACCACAGGTTGATAGATGGCCGTGAAGCTGTCTTGTTTTTGAGGAAGATCAAGGAGGGTGTGGAGGACCCTGCCACCATCGTCGCTGGCATGTAAACACTACACCTCTAACTAAAGTTACCAGTTTGATTTCCAACACCAGCGTCTAGTTGGGGTAAAGTAGATGATGCTCGTCGTCTCATATAAATATAATATTTATTGAACATCCGTCTGTTCGCATATTGTATTATTTATCAAATTAAGTAAATAATAATTAAAGTACATTTCCTTTATGACTTATTGTATTTATTGTTTTATTATCCTTTTTTTTTGTCATAATTTGGTAAACAATAAAAAAAATTAAATCTGTTCTTGCTCGAAGTCCGTAAATCTAACAGTTATCTGTTCCTCCAGGTATTTATGTACAAAATTTCATCCGTCCGTTTCAGAGTGAGAGAAAATCAAACAATCGCACACACAAAATTCATTTACATATAAAAAAAAATTATGTTAGTTACACCATTTATAACTCGAGAACTGCTGGACCGATTTTTATGATCTTTGATTTGTTGGATTTGTCTCAGCTCCAAATAGCAGAATAATTATTTATAGATCGGAAAAAATAACAAAAAAATAACATGGTTAACGCTGGCTAATAATTATTTATATCTATTTAAAACGTTCCTAGCGATGCACCTGAGCGAAGCGAGGGTGAGCCGCTAGTCTATACTAATATTATAAAGAGGTAAAGTTTGTGAGAGATTGTGACGTTATAGGGATAATAATCGTAATCTCTTGTATCTACTGAACCGATTTAGATGAAATTTGTTAAGAAGATAGTTCCTGGATAGTCCCTGGGAAGGACATAGGATACTTTTTATCCCGGAAATCATCCCTTAAGGGGGTGAAAATGGTGATGAAAGTTTGTACGGCGAAGCAAGCTAGGGACAAACCCGAGCGAAGCAAGGATGATTCGCTAGTATTATAATAATGCAATTAATTTAAAAAAAAACACGATGTAAGTATACTACTAATAATGATTAGAAGTAGGTACCTAAAAACAAAAAAAAACTTTGCTAATATACATATGTGAAACATTTATTTACAAGAAATTTATTGAAATTACAAATATACTAATCTATACATATAATAAAATTCTAACTGAGTCGAATCTGTACATTAAATATTTTTTTGGAAAATCTTACTGAAGTAGACATTATTAGCGATACAGAGGTCGAATCTATAGTTTTTAGAATTTTTGTCTCTGGGAACGCATCAAGATGAAACCACTGGACAGATTTTGATGAAATTTGGTATGATGATAGCTGGTTATCCGGGTCAACATATAGGATACTTTTTACCGCGGGAAAATATCTCATCTCTGAGAAATCTATACTAAACGTTATAACACAACTCGCTACTTGTATGTACAATAAAATTGTACTTACACTTAATTAACACAGCATAATTTAAAAGAATGATGTCACGTTATTAACCGCTTTGTTAGTAAAGTGGGTATAGTATCTGGGCCTGCATTCCATAAAGTCCTGGGTTCGAGTCCCGTGTCGAGCTAAATTAATTACTGAGTTTTCTGTCAGGTAGCAGTGTTTGTCTGGTGGTCCCTTTGGAGTTTGGAGGTTGAGAGTGAAAGTAGGTAATAGAGAGCACTTGTGTTTACGTCTTCATATATATCTTGTATCTCTACATTATCTCTTTACTCTAACGCTTATTACATATATATGGCTGTATCATTGTATGGACGGATAACTGTTAGTATAGAATAAGTAGACTATATATTGTATAATATACATAGATATGAATTATGATAAGTTGTGGGTCGTATTATAACGTGTTTTCCCGTGGGAATGTGATAATCTCACGCAATAAAAAGTAGCCTATGTCACTTTCCATCCCACCAACTATCTCCACACAAATCATCCCAATCAGTCACTCTGTTTCGACTTGAAAGAAGAACAAACAAACACACTTCACATTTATAATATTTGTAATTATGGATGTATCAATAAAATTGGTTTCCGTAATCGACATCTATTACAGCGATTAAATCAACAAATTCACCGAATTTGCTGCATGGATTTTAATACAACTTCTAGCGGTAAAACGAATCTATTAGTGGCCCGGTAAATGGAGAGGTAATTATGTAAAATAGTCTATACATATAATAAAATTCTAACTGAGTCGAATCTGTACAATAAATATTTTTTTGAAAATCTTATTGAAATAGTAATTATTATCGATACAGAGGCCGAATCTATACTTTTTAGAATTTTTGTCTGTCTGTCTGTTACCGCATCACAGAAAAACTGAAGGGATTTTGATGAAATTTGGTATGATGATAGCTGGTTATCCGGGTCAACATATAGGATACTTTTTACTGCGGGAAAATATCTCATTTTTGAGAAAAAACACAAAAATGCATTGTAAGAGTATACTAATATGTAAAACCTAAAAATTTGGTTTATGGTCATCTGAACGCGGGAGTGGCCACGGGCAATGCTAGTTAAGTATATATTATGTCATCGCCTTATAAAGTAAAGACCGGAAATTAATGCCATTTTAAATTCGTAATTTGCGATTCATTTGCAGGCAGCGCCATCTAGTTTGATTTTGGTTACTTATGCTGGGAGCAAAAAGAGGTTAGTCTATTAAATGTCAATAGATGGTGCTATATATATATACTAGCGACTCACCCTCGCTCCGCTTGGGTTCGTCCCTGGGGTGGGGTCTGGGAGGACCACCCTTATCCTTATCACTTAGGGGTATGGAAAATAGATAGTAGCTGATTCTCAGACCTACTGAATACGCATATAAAATTTGGTAAAAATCGGTAAAGCCGTTTCGGAGGAGTACGGTAACAAGAATTGTGACATGGAAATTTTATATATAATATAAATATATATATATATATATATATATATATTATATATATATATATATATATTTGTTATTTAGATTTTTGTAAAATTAATAAAAGATATAATATAACTTCCCAAAAAGGTATATTATGCTTTTATAAAAATTTCTAAGTAGACAAAAATAAATTATTACGCTCGTGAATTAATGGAGATAAAATAAAGAAGACAAACAATTAAAAAAATCGCTAATTATTTAATGGGTGTGTAAGCAGCGCCATCTGTGAACAATAAATATAATGTGACATTAACACACAGCGCCATCTAGTTCCATGGTAAGCTACGAGGCTTGTGCTATGGATTCCAGATAGTTGATACACTACACATATATAACTTTAAATACATACATATTATAAATATAAACACCGTGACAGGAGTACAAACATTCGTGTTAATCACATAAATGAATGCCCTCAGCGGGGCTCGAACCCGCGACCGCTGGCACAGTAAAATCACTACAAACTGAGCCAAACGTGTCGTCAGTCGTAAATATACACTATATTCACAGATGGCGCTTTTCATTTTTAGAAACTATTTTCTACTTTTAAAACTGCCCAATTCCCTGTTTATTTGATTAAATCTATCATATATAGTTTAAACATTAATAATACAAAATAATTCGATAGCTTGCAGATTATAGATATGTATAATTTCTTTAAACAAACAAACATAGCCCGAATTGGCGCTGTCCAATTTTTTTTGGCTTATGGCATCAGGATACTTTTTACTGCGGGAAAATGTCTCATTTCTGAGAATAAATACAAAAACTGCAATGTAAGAGTATACTAATATGTAAAACCTAAGAATTTGGTTTTTGGTCATCTGAACGCGGGCGGAACCGCGGGCAATGCTAGTATTATTATAATAGGTAAAGATTTTCTCAAACCCACGATATTGTAGCCATAGCAACGAAATATACACACAGCTACGTTTGTCACACGCAAACGTCACAACTAAACAATTCAGAAGTGTAATAATTGAAAATATTAAATAAATATGTAAAAAGAACTGTGAAATTAGATATTTTGTTTTAAAATTCATTTTTGTGGTTACTAATTTTGTGTTATTTTTGTCAATTTTAATGAAAAAATGGTGACCTACATATAATTTCGAGGTACGATGAATAAATTATTTTTGTTTGTATCGATATCAGTGGAAGAGACGATAAAGTCTAATTGTAGTTTCTTTGTTATATTTGTTTGATATTTTTTTTTAATATTTTAACTCTAAAGCTTAGATCATTTCTTAGAATGCCACACATTTTTATTTTTTACTCCGTCTAATTTTAATATGTAATATGTTGGGGGCATTAACACACAGCACCATGTAGTTCCATGGTAAGCTACGAGGCTTGTGTTATGGATACCAGATAGTTGATACACTTATATAACTTTAAACACATACATATTATAAATATAAACACCCATGACTGGAGTACAAACATTGGTGCTCGTCACACAAATAAATGCCCCCAGCGGGACTCGAACCCGCGACCGTTGACACAGCAAGTAGGATCACTACAAACTGAACCAAAACTTTCGTCTTACTTTGAAAGTATGATGTGGGAAATTCTGAAAAAGTTAATAAAAGAGCTTTCAAAAGACTATTAAGAAAAATTATTTTGAAGTAAAATACGTTGAGTAAGTAGTTTTCGATATATGTACTTGTATGTTGTTTTTTCTTTAGATACCCCGTAACCACGCGTTTGGCTACAAAATAGTTTTTTTTGTAGAAATATTATGAAATTCAATTATTTTTGCAGTTTATAAAATTAACTAGCATTGCCCGCGGCCTCACCCGCGTTCAGATAACCAAACTACTCTTACATTGCAGTTTTTGGATTTTTTGCTCAGAAATGAGACATTTTCCCGCGGTAAAAAGTATCCTATATATCGACCCGAATAACCAGCTATCACCTTACCAAGTTTCATCAAAATCCCTCCAGTGGTTTTTCTGTGATGCGGTAACAGACAGACAGACAGACAGACAAAAATTCTAAAAACTATAGATTCGACCTCTGTATCGATAATAATGACTATTTCAATAAGATTTTCCAAAAAATATTTAATGTACAGATTCGGCTTAGTTACAATTTTATTATATGTATAGATTATTGTACTCGTAGATGGCTATTTATACTACTTATACGTCACATTTTATATGTTAAAATTTAACATAAAACTTATAATTTACTGCCTCTCAATGAACGAGTCCAACTCGCACTCGTCTGATTTTATTTATTCGTTAACTTTTACATTCCAACAATAGTTAGAATTTTTTTTAAGATACATATATATTTTTCAAACCTCTTACAGCTACACTACTTAAAGTTGTTTAAATATTAAAAATTCAAACAATGCAGACCTCAGGAAAGACGGTAGATAAAAAAATCAAACGGGAAACGTCCAAAGATGATCTGACTACCAAAAAACCAGATGAAAAACTGAAGAAGAGCATCTACAGTGTGTCTACGCCTCGTAATTTCATACAAAAATCGACTACCACCGATATTTATGCTAAAAATGGCCAAGTCAAAGCACCTAAAAAGACACAAGCGGTTGTAAAAAATAATAATGTATCGCCAATGAAAGATCAACTCAAATCTTCTCCATCATCTGTGAGTCACAAAAGCTTTAAAGGGAAGAGTGACAAAAAAACACCTATCTCAGCAAGACCTACAACAAAAGAAGGCAATAATACGAATAAAAAAATTCCATTCAACGTAACAGTAAATTCTCCATTAACAAAAAGAAAAGATTTGGTAAAACAAGATACTAAAACAGAAAAAGCTAAAAAAGATTCAGCCAGAGATGATTCACAGATAAAAAAGAAAAATGAAGATTCAAACAAAAAAGTTCTTAGTAAAATAAATGTGGACATGAAAAATTTGCCTGAAAGAAAAAGAACTAAAACAAGAACGCTAGAAGATGAGGAAATAAAAGTTCTTACTCCAGAAGTGGTTGAGAATAATACGGAGATGTTGAATTTAACGAAGCAGTTAAAAGCTCAGTCCAAAGCTTTCTTTGTTGATTTAAATGAAGAAAAGAAAGAGGTAAAAGAGGTAATATCTATTGCTGGTGATAAGATTTTCCTAGCGGCTATTTTTGGAACTAAGATACACAAACAGTTCTAAGCACTTTATCGTCTGTGGATAATTTCTGTGCAAAAATGAGATATTTTAATGAGATTTTTTAATCGAAGTTAGGTTTTACGACTTGCCGGTAAAAAAACCCCTATTAAATCACAGATGCATTGTCAATAGTTTTATATTTAAAAGTAGCGACTCACCCTCGCTTTGCTCGGGTTAGTCCCTAGCTTGCTTCCCAATACAAACTTTCATCTCCACTTTTACACCCTTAAGGGATGATTTCTGGGATAAAAAGTATCCTATGTCCTTCCCCGGGTCTCAAACTATCTTCTTACCAAATTTAATCTAAATCGGTTCAGTAGATCCAGAGATTACCCCCTACAACGTCACAAACTCACAAAATTTACCACTTTATAATATTAGTATACTGGTAGATTATAACTGAATCAAAATCTCACTGCATCACTTACATAATGATAGTAAAAATCTGAATGATAAATATTTTTCTTTTTAAATATCCAAATAGTATACGACACAAAGCTTATGTTCCACTTAAAGTTCAAGTAAGGCTTAAATTCTAAAATGTGGGGTTCATATTCTATGCATCTGAACGAAGTACCATATTTTACAAAAAAAATTGCAATATCGGTTATATAGTTCTTTATTGCTTAGTTTACAACAATAAATTTTGAAATAAAAAATATCTTGAAAGTGCAAAATTTTTTTAGTGGCTCTCGAGGCCCATTCCTTTAAAATCACAATAAGCCGAACATATCCTATAAGTTTGTCCTTCAAAATGTCATAGATAGATATAATGGAGTTTATTTTTATTATGTGCTGTATTGCTTATAGAAAAAAAAGGAAAAATCAAGTGATGAAGAAGTCAGTTATGAGGACGATTTCGAGAGCTACGAATCTGATTTCGATTCTTATCACAGTGAGACTAAAACGGATGAACTAACTAGTGATGATGGTAATGATAATGATGATAATAGTGATCGAAATAATGATGATAATTATGATAATACTAATGATATAAGTAACAAAAATGATAATAAAAACGTAGACAATGAAGACGAAGGTAATTCGAAAGAAGAAAGAATGTTAGACTCTGGTAAGAAAATAGTAAATTATTATCAACAAATACTTAATGCGTAGAATGAAAATTAATATTAGAAGCCTTGATATTTTAGTACTTTAAGTCAATTTTTAACTTTGTTAGCTTTACTTATAACTATAGTTTTCAAATTTACGTCTTATCGATTATTATGAAACCTTGTAAGTATTTAAAATTCTGTAATAAAACAATAACTGGATACCTCACCTCTAAGGAATCTTTTATATTTTCCATAACACTAGGTTACTATATCCAAGTAATTCATTATAGATTGCTCAGAGATGCTTAACTCCCAAATTTTAGTCTATTAAGATGGCTTTATGTTTCGGATCTATTTCCTATTGCAAGCATTTCAAAGGAGCGTACTCCTTTGTCAAAACTTTTTGGTCCAAAGCGTGTTATCTTTTTCAGTTTATTAAAACTATATTAATTTGCCAGGCAACTTCGAATTACGTGATCCCAGATCTGCTACCAAATCGAAGCCTATGGACTTCATTACGGAGGACTTGGAAGAGGAGCAGATTCGAGCTGATGATGAAGGGAAAAAGGTGTCCCTCGTTGATGAGGGGTTCCAGGATATGTCCAGTGGTTTGTCTAGTATGAAGACTTCACATGTTGATGTCTTGGAGAGGTAAGCATCGCAGTTATATTATAGATGCAAAATTATGTACATATGTCATATATTAGTTAATTCTTTACAATTTAACAAATCAACGCATTTAAGTGGAATTTAAAATGGATATAACATATAACCTTTTTTAACGTTGGAAAATGCATATACGAATACCACCTAACTTGTCAGCGACTGCCGAGCCACAGGTATATTTGGTTATTTGAAGACTCGATGGATAGAAAAAACAGTACCTACTAGCCACTTAAACCCTTCGGAACCTCACCCGTATCGATGGGGTATAGCAGGATCGCTTACGGCGTACTCAACCTTGACGCCCCGACGGCTGCCTGCCGGCAGACCACAACAGTCGAGGGTTGCTCTCACGGTCTACTCTGCTACTAGAGAAGCACCAGGAACAAACTCCATGCTGCACCTCTTATCTTTACGCCTGGCTGGGTTGCCGGACTCTAATGTGCCAAACTCATAGTTTTTATTTCAATTAAAATGGAGGATTTCTTATAACCCTAAGTTACTCTTCAGCTTAAATGATGTTCGACCTTCTAATATATGTATAATATTATTTTATTTTGTCAAAATTTATGTGTACATTTTAAATTGATAATTTAATTTGTTACCATTTACCAATGTTGCCACTTAAGAGTTTGAAATGACGCTGTTGTTAATCTATATTTTTCTTTTATAGGCCATTATTTATAGATTTTACAAAATCAAAAGAGAATAGACGAAAAAGGCGAATATTCGAAAAATTAAAACAACGAGCTCAAATAATTTTAAGTATGGTAACACTACATGAAATGTCATACAATTTATTCGAAATGGCACCAATACCATATGATTTATATATGGCAACATTTGGCAGATTAAATTACAAACAGACAGCTGTACAGACCTTTGATGATGGTATCACTGAAGAGGTTCAAACTGATGAAGTTTTATATGAAACAAAATGGACTCAAAATCCTGTGGAATTTTCAAATAAAGATATTTATTTAAACGAAAGCATAGTGGAAAAGGATAAAAATTCAGAACAAAATTCTTTTTTTTCTAATGAATTAAATAAAAATGAGATAATAAGTGATAGTTACAAAAGTAATCCTCTCAGAATATATTTAGAACAAAAAGATGGCGTAGGCTTAGATGCAATGCTGCCATATCAAAGCTATGAATTAAAATTAAAAAATAATACATATAATGTGAATAGATTAAAAAAGTTTTTAAAAAATGTAGAAAGCCGCGTTAGTAATATTTTAAGTATTAACGCGGGCAGCACTGATATGTCAAATATTGTTAAAACGTCAAAAATTCCATTTAGCAATGGCTATGTGTCAATATCTACAAATAAATTAGAAGAAAAAGCATTATTTTTGAAAGATTCAAAAATTATTGGCACGATATTTTCAGAGACTAAGAATAATTTAATAATGTCTATCCACGAAAAGTCTAGTTTAAATAGTGTTGCCATACAAAAATGTGTTTTGTGTTTGTGGGATTTGAGTATGGCAAAACGAGAGCCAATAAAATATCTAATAGCTACAGATAACGTAAAAATTGGAAAATTCAGAGGAGGTACGGATGGTTATTTTGTTGGCGCTTTAGAAGATGGGTAAGATTTGATGTAAAACATAATAAAATCTTATTGTAAATGTTTGTCACTTATATTAATTTTTATGTTTTAGATCTATACATTTATGGGATTTATCAGAAGAGGCGACATGGTGTAATATTATAGATGAAAATTCTACCAATATGGTAGAAATGAATTTAAGTGAAACAAAAAAATTAACACAAACTGAAAAGGATAGGGAGTGGAACAATAAAAATAGTCATTTAAATGATGTAAAACAGGTAAAAGATCTATTTTATAAATTTAGACCAAAACAAAGAGCTCTTAGAAGGTGACAGAGAGAGAGAGAGAGAGAGAGAGAGAGAATAACTATGAGAGAAAACTACTCTGTGGAAGCTTCTTTATTTTGTTTAATTCACATAATATTAATAATATTTATACATTTTTTATTTAGCAATATGGCTGCCCTTTCCAAGCAAGTGCATATACAAGTAGTGCCTACAATATATGTAATAATGAAAGTATAGACGGTATTGTTGGTTTGGAGTTTTTAGGAGAGCATACAGCGATGAGTATGGGGAATGGAAGGAAAATTATACGTCAGGTAAGATAGAGTTTTACATAATCTATAATGCCCTCCTGACTGGTTTCGGTTACAGCGGTCATTGAAAAAAAAACAATAATTAAATTTAACTCAACTCAGGCCTCGAACCCGGTTCCTTCCGATCTATAGACATACGTGCTAGCTACTATACCAACAATACAACAATTTTTCTTATATGTAAAACCTGAGCGAGTATTTTTGGTATTTTATTTCTTTTTTTTATTGTTTTTCAGCTATGCAGCTTACAAAGAAACGGAGTTTTAACAACATGGTCAATAATATATGAAAAAACTAAAAACCCAACAAATGACATCGGCAAAGCCTTTTGGTCGAAAATGTACTTAGAAAGAAGTCTAACAACTAATTTATCAGAATATTTAGATGTAACAATAAATAATATAGAATTGGAAATGGATTTCAATTTAAATTCGGCTAAAAAGAGATTAATACATAAAAGACAAGAGAAAAATTTCATAAAATCTCTTTCCCGCCAAAAGTCACTGTCAAAATCTGACATTGGCAGGCCAAACAGTGCTGCCAGTGTGAAAAGTAAAAGGATTATGGTAGAAAATTCCGTTTGGGATGGTATCGAATGTTGTCATTTAAAAATAATGAATTTAAATAATGTGGATAATTTTTTGGTGGGGAAAAATTATGGAGAAGTACTGTGTTGTAGACGAAGGTTGGGTAATGTTATAATTAAAAGACTTAGTGTTGCCAGTAAGTATTAAGATAATGTGATTTAATCTTAATTTATACTAATATTATAAAGAGGTAAAGTTTGTGAGTTTGTGATTTGTGAGTTTATGACGCTGTAGTGGGTAATCTCTGGATCTACTAAACCGATTTGGATGAAATTTAGTAAGAAGAAAGTTTGAGACCCTGGGAAGGATATAGGATACTCTTTGTCCTGGAAATCATCTTTTAAGGGATGGGAGGGGAGGATCCTTATTCCACATCAGCGGAGAGATTGGAGTTGATTTTAGGTTCGACTTTGTTTTCTATAGTTGAGTGTAGCTTGAAATTTTGGAAACCGATATTAACATGTTTCTAAATGTCATGACGATATCAAACTTTAATAATATAACAATCTGAATCATAAGAATTATATTCATTTTATGACATTTTTTATGTGCTCAATACATACGATTTTAATCATGCTCCGCTATTTTGAAAAAAAAAAAGAAATGGCGTCGTTAATGTCTCTTTCCATACATCACAAGGTTAATGACTTTAGACCTTATATATTATGTAAAATAAAAACTATTTCAGATTGCGTGTCATCGATAACTAGTTTAGAAACATCCCCCAACAATCTGCCATACTTTCTAGCGGCTAGTGACTGTGGGACCGTCAGTCTGTGCTCCCTTTTAGATCTCAGGGTTCTGCTTGCGTTGGACTGTAGGTGAGTGTATTTTAGTTGGTTTTAAGTAAACTATTTCTATATTTTACCTGCTTTTGACTGACTTCAAAAAGAGGTGTGCGAATTTTGAGAGTTTTTTTGATTCTGTTGTATTGAATTTTATGTCCTTTTTCGCCTATATTTATGTATTAGCCCTAAAAAAATGTGTATGAGAAGCGCCATTTTGTCACTGATCTTCCCTTGGCTTTCTTTTTGACAAATACATATGTGCTAAGTTTTTTTATTATAATTTTAATCTAGGTATCCTATGCAAAAATTCCGGAAAATAAGCTATAAATAGTATTAACAGAAATATGTTAATTTTATATGGACTATATATATGTATGTAACAAGCTTTTTGTTTTTGGACAACATATTTTTTTTCATATGAATAGTCTCTCACTAAATAAATAAAAGTCGCTCACTACGCTTAAAGAATACCTAAGAAAATAATGATCTTAACATATTATATTAATATAAATAATGTATGTGTATATGTATGTACGTCCCACTGCTGGGCGTGGGCCTCCCTTCAATACTTGGGGGAACAGGCCACAGTCCACCACGCTGGACAAGTGCGGGCGGACTGAGCATGTCTTTTGATAACTTGCTAGGTTCTCTCAGACATGCAGGTTTCCTCACGATGTTTTCCTTCACCGTAAGACAATTGGTAAATCATGTTGGAAATGAGTCGTACATGAATATATCAGAAGTGCGAGACCCCGGGATTTGAACCCGCTTCACTCGGTTTCCCAAGCTAGCGCGTTACCACTGCGCTACCCACTGCCTTGCATGTAAATAATATAGTATTTAAAAAGGGTTTTTTTTTTAGAAACGGTCCAACTTTGAATATAGACAAATATCAAACGGACCACAAAGGCAGGTTCCTTGGTACTGCTGCAGTTGAATCGCCTAACTTTGAACCGAATAAGGAGTTTAAGGTATGTTTTTTCGTCTAACATTATTATTATTAGTTTTATTACTAATATTATATTCTTTATTGCACAATAATAAGTTCAAAACGTTTATTTTTGTGGAAATATCGATCTGCTTTTTCTGATAAGAAATTTGCTACATATTTTTAAAATAATAGCCCTTTACTGAAATATATACGAATACTGAACAATTACAGTGGATACGAGTATATTGTTATTTTTCTACGTACCTACGTTTAAGTTTTACTTTGAATAATTACATTATAGCTCAAAAATCGACCTCTATGAGATGAAATAAGTAATTAATTATTTAAAAAGATTTTTAAGTTTCCAAACCATTGATTCGATTATGATGTAACTCTTGCGAGTTATTCTGAATACGGTTTCTGGCGGAAAAAATGTTCGTTTGGACGTTTGTCTTTTATGCGTTCCTGAACCATAGTAGGTCTGGTCTTTAGTATTATACTAGCGACTCACTCTCGTTTCGCTCGGGTTCATCCCTAGGTACGTTTTAACGGTTAGTATGAAATACAAACCTTTGAATTTCTCGGCTTTTCTGTACTATAATATGCATGTATTATACATATACACCTTCCTCTTTAATCACTCTATCTGTTAAAAAAACCGCATCAAAATCCGTTGCGTAGTTTAAAAAATGTAAGCATACATAGGGACAGACAGACAGCGGGAAGCGACTTTGTTTTATACTATGTAGTGATAAAATATATATTTGTCCCCAGTCCCCAATACTCAGTCTGTGTCATACTCATCCATTGAATATAGTAGCAGTGTACAGACACAATGCACTTATATGGGATCTAAAGAACAGCGACTCTAAAGTGTTGTGCGCGTGCGCAGCCACCGCTTGCGTTAGCAGCGAAAGGAATTTGGTAAGTTGTTTTATGTTTTTTTTAAAAGCTCATATTAGTTTTAGTAATTTAGTTTATAATTGTATGTAGTTTATTATTGTACGTGTGTGTGTGTTTGTTATTGTTTCACGCTAAAACTGCTGAACGCGTTTGAAAGAAACTCTTACTAAGGCATTCAATAACGCTACTACGATTAAGTCGATTTTAACATGTTTTTTATATTATTGCATCGATTAGACATTTTGTAAGTATGAAATCTGTATGAAAATATAATAATTTGATGCCCTTGAGTTGGTTTGATGCTGGTCGTGAGAGGTGGATAGTGAAACTCGTCAATAGCTACTGGTGAGGTTTTTTATAGCGTATCTGTTATATTACACAGACATATTGTCCGTGCCTTTTTTGGGCTCTTTTTTGTTGTGATTATGGATGTAAATAGTTTATACTCTTGCATCATTGCAAGATTTTGGAGAGCTAGGGACAAACCCAAGCGAAGCGAGGGTGAGTCGCTAGTATTAAATATAATGGGTTATTACTTTCACAGGCTCTTCTAACGCCTGAAGGCGACATACAAGTGTACAAACTAACAGAAGATAAGAATCAAATAGAATTGTTCAATAAATATGTAGCTTTATTGTAGTTTATTTAAAGTTTTAAAAAACGCTTGCGCCAGAATTGTTAATATGATTTAAAGGGTTCAATTCAATTTTCTTGTTAATGGCTTCAAAGCGTGCCAGTTGAGCACAGATTACTTCAGCAATATGACGTGGAGTGGAGTAGTGTTAGGGTCTTGATGGACGTATAAATATTAGTGAACTGTATGTGTGTTTAGCCCTTTTTAACGTCCCACTGCCGAGCGTGGGCCTCCCTTCAATACGAAGGGGATCAGGCCATAGTCCACCACGCTGGCCAAGTGCGTGCGGACTGAGTATGTCTTTCGAAAACTTGCTAGGTTCTCTAAGACATGCAGGTTTCCTCACGATGTTTTCCTTCATCGTAAGACAATTTGTAAACAAGTTGGAAATGATTCGCACGTGATACTATCAGAGGTGTGAGATCCGGGATTGAACCCGCTTCACTCGGTTTCCCGAGCGAGCGCGTTACCACTGGGCTACCACTGCATTATGTATTTAATTAAATCATCGGTCCTCGTGTCGGCTATTGTTCTAAGACGCAAATGGACGCTCCATCACGTACTGATCGCTCGCCGTGCCTCTCGATCGTGTATTGCGAGTGCAATAGTCGATACGATATTTGATTTAAAAGTCTTACATATTTTTGTTTAGCAAACGTCAACTATACTACAATGAGATGTTTGTTAAACGTATTTAGAAAATTTGTGTTTTACCGCGGTTTTTATTGCGTAGTTATCTATACTAATATTATAAAGAGGTAAAGTTTGTGAGTTTGTGACGTTGTAGGGGGTAATCTCTGGATCTACTGAACCGATTTAAATGAAATTTGGTAAGAAGATAGTTTGAGACCCTGGGAAGGACATAGGATACTTTTTATCCCGGAAATCATCCCTTAAGAGGGTGAAAATGGGGATGAAAGTTTGTATTGGGAATCAAGCTAGGGAAGAATCCGAGCGAAGCGACGGTGAGTCGTTTATTTATATATAATATTACTCTACCCCTTAGGTTCTATGTCCTGGTCCTAATAGGCTATGAAATCCAAAAAAAAACACAACTTATGCAAACCTTTTTTTTTTTTATGTCGGGAAATGCATTTACGCATACCACCTGATCCCCCAGGTGGTGATGTGGGGCTCACCGGCTATAAGAGCCGGTGCTACCCACTAAAACCCGACATTCCCCTCCCCTCCGCCTTAATGGGACGCCGCAGGATCGCTTGCGCATAACTACTACGGCGCCCCGGCGGCAGGTCTGCCAACGGCTGACCACCACACCGATGGGGCTGCTCCACAGTCAACTCTGCTACACCAGAGAGGTACCCGGAGCAGCCCCATTAAACCTAACCACCGCCCACCAAAGTGGGCCACCTCCAATCGGCTGCAGAGGACAGGGAGAGCGGCAACGAAACACCGACACTCCTCTTCCCCTGCAGCCCCACCGCGTCCGCCATCAAACGGTGGCGGCCCCGTCTAGGCCGCGGAAGGTAGGGAGAACGGCGCACCGAAATACCGGCACTCCTCTCCCGCCGCGGCCTACTCTTCCGCCGGATGCGGGCCTGCGACCACAGTCCCGCAACCGGCACACATCATCCGGTTGTGGGACCAAGCGGTCCCACCACCGGTGGCCGCAACGTCTTCGGCTCGAGGCCTAGACGAGCGGCCCCATCCAAGCCATTTGGTCCGCGCCGGATTTGTCCGGTACCACCCGCCGCCCTAAGCGGGTGGCATTCCCCTATCCGCCACCTGGGGACGCGCCCGGTAGGAGTTGGCTTCTCCCCCGGGAACTTATGCAATACTGGTGCAAGTGATATTTACAGTTTACTTTTAATTATATTTCTTGATCTCACAAAAATCTAAGATTCAATGTTGTACCTAATTTAGAATTAAGGCTATTATTGTATTTAATAAAGTAATTTCTAATTTTATCTACTTGTTTTTTTTTTTTTTGATAAGCTTTCTCCTTTCTTCTATAGTGATTTCAAGTGGATCTCGTAATTAATTCAAATACTTTGATAAATATGTACATATAATGTACTAACAAAACCCGCGGCTACGCCTGTGTTCAATTTACAAAAAAAAAATCTGGCTTTATGTTATACAGCAATAAATACAATCTATACATATAATAAAATTGTAACTGAGCCGAATCTGTACATTAAATATTTTTTTGGAAAATCTTATTGAAATAGACATTATTATCGATATAGAGGCCGAACCGCCGAATCTATAGTTTTTAGATTTTTTGTCTGTCTGTCTGGCTGGCTGTTGCTGCATCAAAGAAAAACCACGGGAGGAAATATTTTTGTGTGTTGGTGTGTTTAATCTGGCTAATCTCCGAAACAGGTGGACTGATTTTGACGAAACTTTGACTGGCAGATAGCTGATGTTATAGGGAGTAACATAGGCTACTTTTATTTTAGAAAAAGATTTAGGATTCCGCTCAAAAAATCAAAACGTACCTAGGGATACACACGAGCGAAGCAAGGGTGAATCGCTAGTTTCTAATAAAAATTAACAATCAGGTATAATTAAACAACAAGTATCTAGATGTATAAGTTTTATTACAAAACATATTTACATTATAAACTATATATAACAAAAACCTTACTCTAAGGGTTCATCGGTTAAACAATCGAACCCTAAACCCCTATTTCAATTAATGAGCATTTAATTATATTCCGATCGCACAATAATAAAATATAATATAACAACAGAATTTCATCTCCCATCATCTATTCTAATATTATAAAGAGAAAAAAATTATTTGTTTGTTTGTTTGTTTGTATCGAATAGGCTCCGAAACCACTGGACCGATTTAGATGAAATTTGGTAAGAAGATATTTTGAGATCCTGGGAAGGATAAAGGATAGTTTTTATCCCGGAAATCATCCCTTAAGGGGGCGAAAGTTTGTATGGGGTAGCTAGCTAGGGACGAACCCAAGCGAAGCGGGGGTGAGTCGCATGTCTAGAAAAACTTTCAATGGCACAAACAAACAAACAAACAACAAAACAAACTGACCAGTGATGATTATTTTCAAACAAAATTATTCAAATAATCCCACATTATAAACGAATACTAAGACAAAATTACATTCATACAGTTTGAATCGCACGAACGAAAGGCAGTGGTAGCCCAGTGGTAACGCGCTCGCTTGGGAAACCGAGCGAAGCGGGTTCAAATCCCGGGTCTCGCACCTCTCATATTATCACGTGCGAATCATTTCCAACATGATTACCACTTGTTTAAAGACATGCTCAGTCCGCCCGCACTTGGCCTGCGTGGTGGACTTTAGCCTGATCCTCTTACTGAAGGGAGGCCCACGCCCAGTAGTGGGACGTTAAAAAAGGTTAAATACAAGCTATACAATAATGTTTTTAATATAACAAAACATATTATCGGATTTTTTGGCGCATTTATTTTGATAAATACAAGCTATACAATAATGTTTTTAATATAACAAAACATATTATCGGATTTTTTGGCGCATTTATTTTGATTTTAAAGACAAACTGTCTCTCCCGTAACCATGACTGCTGTAAAACATTCGAAACGTCAGCAAAAATCAAAATAGATCCGCGAAAAAAAAACCCAAACGGTAGTTTTATTTCATTTAAAATACCAAATATCCGTGTAAATCTAAGAAAGTATCGTACAATTGCAAATCGCACTCGAGACAAACAAATGTTCATTCATATGAATCGCACATCCCACAAAAACTCTGAAACGCTCATTAATTAAAATATACGAGTCCTTAGCCTAAATTTGTTTAAATAAACACTTTTCTTACGCCACGTTAAGAAAGTCAACTATATAGATAGCCATATGTAAGGGAACTGACCCATACGTGACCCATTTTTACACCATGCCATATATACACACACGTATATGCCAACCCCCCCCTCTCCCTCCCCTCCCACTCCCCCTTTAGTTTTCACTTAATAATTCATAAATATGGTTTTAAAACCATTTGTTAATAAACAGGAAAGTTAAAAACATTTAATTTGGCTTATATTTATTTGTCTTTATCACACTGTGCTTGCCGCGTGACGTCAACAGTGAGTTTCATAGGTCAAAAAAGCGCATGAGTCAAATAGAAGATGTTGTGCTACGTGAAGAAAACCTACGACCTCCCACCGCCAAGGAAAAAAGTACCAAGCGTGGTAGTTTGAAGATCATAACCCCCCCCCCTTCCACCCCTCTCCCCCTCTTAACGGGTCACGTAGTATGGATAAGTTCCCGAAGATGCATTTTTATATTGCATTAAACGGTATTTTAAGGAAAGATATCAATCAACTCGTATAATATTTTTAAGCTATTGCATAGCTTCTATCGCGGGCCTTGAGCGTGGGGACCGAATCCAGAAATTCCGTAACGAAAAAAACCTGACACCCCCCACTCCGACCGGCACAGCGGTGATACTTTTTAGTTTTTCCATCTATCGATAAATACCAGAACTTTTAATGACTTTTTGAAATATCACGCTTGTCTCTTTAGTTCAGCAACCCGCCTTTAGGTGGCATTGGTTGTATTGGAAAAGTACCGTAATCAGCTGTTTGTGAGAAAGTATATAGGTGTATAGGTATTTATCATCTATGTACAACAGTGAATATCTGTACTCGTATAATATGTGTACAAAGTGTTTTAAATATGAATAAACAAAGTGCATTTATTAATGAAGAAAGTCAAGGAAAAAAAACACTGCATTAATAAAATAAATAAATAATTATAATTGCATAAGTTGATAAAAAATGCTATGCAATAGCTTTACCGCGGCAGTCTCCGAGTGCCACATTTAATTTTTTTCTGGAGCGAAAATGATACCTTATCGATCGATACCTTTGCTTTAAAAAAGAAAAAAAAATAAACAAATAACATATAATTTACAAAATTTTCCTAAAACATTGTTTATTATCCAAAGTCCCTTCAAAATTGTATACAGATTAAACAATTATACAGACAGAGCAAGTCAAAATAAATATCAAGTCAAATATAGTAGCGTGATTTGCTGTTTATACTACTAGTCTCGATTTTGCCATACAGATCTTTACTTTCTTTATATATATATATAAATAATTACCTAAACACAATCGGTGACAGTTTTAAAAGAACTTTTGCATGGGATTGTGTATCTACATTTTTTTTATGCCCGACTTTCATATAAAATTACGTATGCTAGTCGGGAGCTTCTAGATACCTTCGTTAGACGCCTGTATGGATTACTGGACTGTGGTGTGGTGTGGGGGTGTTTGGGGGTTGTTAATGGTGTAACGCATGGTGCGGGGTGAGCACCGCCCCGCCGGGGGGTAGCACCGACGTGATGACTGGTGCCGAACCCCCAACTCCCCCCACCGTGCCCACTCCCCCCACTCCTCCCCCACAGAATATCACCTGTAACAAAGTACAATATTTATTTATTTATTAATTTTTGGGAAACAAACAGTGACATAATTCTTAAAAATAATTAAAAACTAAACAGTCCACACACCAGCAAAGTTTCCACCTATATATATGTCACAGGTAGAGTAAACATAAATAATTTAAACATTAAAACAATATAATAAAATTTTAACAAAAGTTACTGCAAAAAACACTATAAACGACAACAATAAAAATGACTAAGTTAGAATTACCAGAAAGATAAAATAATAAACAAATTATAAAATAAATATAATAAAATATTTAGTATTTACTTAATGTTACATATTATCTCCCTGCTCTAAATTCTATCTGTCTTTGACTCGCCATAATAATGGACATACATACTATTGTATGTCCTCTTGTAAATTATAATATAAAATAAATAAAATACAATATAATACGATAAATGAACAGTGGTCTCATTTCGAACGAACATAAGACTAAATATATACGGTTTTTTTTTAAATAATTAGCGAGATAAAAATTAAAAACAGATCTCTATCTCTATCTCCATCTCCAATGTCCGCTTACCTGCGAGACGGGCGTGGCGGGCTGCCCGGGCGTGGTCAGCACGTACTGCTGTTGCCGCACACCACCCACCTGAGGACATTGCAAAATTATAAATTAAAAATAAAAAAAAACCCCTACACAAACTAATTGTCATTTAACGATTACACTGGCACGAGTGAAGCACTTAGTCGAGTAATCATACACCAAAATGCCTTACATCGTTTTGGAAAAGAGCTGATACTCTTACACTGCTGGACCGATATTAACCAAACGTAGCTAAGAACCACCGTACAGAAACTGGCTTTCAAATTAAAAAAAAACCGCATCGAAATCGGTCCATCCGTTTGAGAGCTCCGATGCCACAGACAGACATCGACGTCAAACTTATAACACCCCTCTATAATATAAAGATATATTTTTACTATATACTATAACGCGGGTTCTGCTAGTAGTTATAATATATATATATATTGTTAGGAATGAACGCGAACGAACAATATCAAGATGCATTCATTGCACCTATAAAATGAAGTGTCAAACAGATCACACGTCTCAGCTGTCTTATTTGTTAGATTAGCATTGAAGTTACATATATGTATTTGTGATTGCATAGAAATAGTTCTAAATGGTTAGGATTCACAATTGAATAATAATTTTCATCAAAAAAATATTAAATATAAAAATTTTCATTAAAATCGGTCGAGCCGTTTCGGAGGAGTGCGTCCACAGACACCGTGTCACTAGTATATATATATTAGAATAGCGACTCAACCTCGCTTCGCTCGGGTTCGTCGCTAGATACGTTTTAAATAGATATAAATAGTTATTACTGGCTAATAGTTAGCCATATAAATTTTTTTTTCGTTAATTTTACATTTTTTCTCTTTATTTAAAAAAAACCTTCCGTGGACCTTAAGGAACATACGAAAAAAAATCCATCAAAATCAATCAGTGGAGCCGTTTCGGCGATTAGCCGGAAAACAGACAGACGGACAAAAATAAAAAAAAAATGCTTTTTATTATATTCCATATGCATTTAGTAAAGAATTGTTATTTCGACATTACAAACAGACACTTGAAATTTATTTATCTGTATAGATAATGAATAGACATAGCATTTACCTGGTGTATTTGCTGCGGTTGCTGTAATGTCTGCCGTCCGTCCGTCTCCACCACCACCTGCTCCATGAACGTTGCGCCTGTCGCTGCAAATATTATACGTATATATTATAAAGATTGGAACGGGTTTAAAAAAAACCGGTCAATTTCGGTAAAGTCTAAAACTAAGAAATGTACATCCTTCTGCTAAGCAATCCACTATCAGCAAAGATTCGCCAAATGTAAACGCACAAGAACTCATTTAACCGGTTAATTTCGATAATGGAACCTAAATTCGTCAAAAACCGTCTGCCGAGTTTTAACCGGCTAAAGAACCTAACCGAAACCTTAAACCGAAAAGTCGAGGTCCTTAGTTCGAGTCCAACTTCAGGTATTGAGTGTTCAAAAAATTCTCAGTAACAGCCTGGACTTGGGAAGTTAGAGGTGTGTCGCCGGAGTGTGAAAATGACAGGAATAGAGTGCACCGCCACCTCCCTCTCCTTTTCCCTCCCCTCCATCCCGCTAGCCTCCCCCCTCTCACTCCCTACCCATACCCTCTCTCTCCCTCTCTCTCTCTCACACACACACTGCACTATAATATCTCCTGCAGTTGTCTAGTCTCAGTGAGATTGACCGAAGCCGGTTGTGTAGGTAGACCTTATTATTATTATCAACACGACCTATAACTACTCACTGCCTGTATTATTTCCCGTGGCGTTGCTCGCGTTTTCACAACCGAATAAACAGTGCTGAACCGTCCAACGAGGCTCGAACGGTATGTGGGTTTTCACCTGCAATATAGTTAAATTTATATTATTATTATCTATACTAATATTATAAATGTGAAAATTTGTATGGATGTACGGATGTTTGTTACTCTTTTACGCCAGAACGGCTGAACGGATCTGGATGAAATTTGGCACAGATATAGATTATAATCTGGAATAGCACACATTGATATACAACAAGTCAAGATACACAACAATTAGCATCTCAAACGTGAACTCAAAAAGAAAAGAATTGTGCGACATTTTAAAGTCTCTTTTATTGACAAAATTAAAACGCTAGTTGTTTCGTTCAAAAAACTACTTTATGTGGTGTGCATAAGTTCGAATTTGTGTTTAGACAATTAGAACTGAATTTTCGATTTATGTATTTTATTTTTTGGTTTGACTTAACGTTTCATAACGTCACATCACGAGGATGTTACTCATCACCATCGCCACCATCACCACATACCTTCAGCTCGGTGGTGAGCATGAGGATGTGCCTGCAGGGCAGCCGGAACACTTTGCTGAAGAGACACGAGCACTCCTGCGTCGAGGTGCCGTACTTGCAGATGGCGGCGCTGCTATGTCTTCTGGGGGAAAGCGAGTTTTTTACTATTGGACTAAACAATATAGATAGATAGACAGATAGATAAATACTTCATTGCACACACAAAAGAAGAGTACAGAAGATGAAAAGAAAAATAACAGAGAGGCATGCGTAGGCGGTCTTCAAAGACAAAAATTCTAAAAACTACAGATTCTGCCTATGTATCGGTAATGTTTATTACAATAAGATTTTCCAAAAAAATATTTAATGTACAGATTCGGCTTAGTTACAATTTTATTATATGTATAAATGATAATGAATAATTTTATTATATGTAAAGGTAATGGAGGCAGTGGTAGCCCAGTGTTAACTCGCGCGCTTGGGAAACCCGAGTGAAGTGGGTTCAAATCCCGGGTCTCGCACCTCTGATATTTTCATGTGCGAATCATTTCCAACATGATTACCACTTGTCTTACGGTGAAGGAAAATATCGTGAGGAAACCTGCACGTCTGAGAGAACCTAGCAAGTTTTCGAAAGATATGCTCAGTCAGCCCGCACTCGGCCAGCGTGGTGGACTATGGCCTGATCCCCCTCGTATTGAAGGGAGGCCCACCCCCAGCAGTGGGACGTTAAAAAGGGCTAAATACACAGATAATGACATTCACCTGCCAATTCTATCATCCAAGCACTTCTGCGCCAACTTAGTCTGGTGATTCATCAGATTGTAGGCATATTGTGTTATTGTATCAGTTGGAGACTGTTTTAGGGTTTCAGTGTCCTGAAATTAAAAAAAAACTATCATATATTTTGTCGTTTGCTTAATCTAACGCTTGTCGTTATATATATTATAATATATAAATGCTAATATTATTATATAAATCTGTATTATTAATTATTATTATTAATATTATAAATGTGAAGTGTTTGTGAGTATGTATGGGTGTTTGTTACTCTTTCACGCCAGAACGGCTGAAAGGATCTGGATAAAATTTGGCATAGAGAAAAAGAGTAGAAGAGTAAAACCCGTTGTTACGTAATATTTTACAAGTCGAAATTTATTATTAAAAATATATTTCTATTTCAAAGGTTCAATGGTTTTCTTCATTTCATAATGTGCAATTCGATTTAAATATGTTATTTAACAAATTTTTCTTGTTTATTAAAATTTTAAAATCTCAAATATGTTCATTGTTATCATTTATATGATAGCAATGATTGAGTATAACCTAAATTTTTTTCTAAAAAATAAAATATTTGATTTACGTCAAACAGAGTTTTAGTGTAACTGATCCTTTCAGGGGTTTTCGAGAAATCTTATATATCCTTACATGGGGGTAGGGGTGGGGTCAAAAATCAGCCTTATCAGCCTTATCAGCCACCTTCAACCATCATCAACCATAATCAACGAACATCAACCCACCCTCAGCCTGCTGATGGCGAAGGCGCGTCGCTCGTCCTCCAGCTGGTTGGCCACATTGAAGAACAACGACACGAACTCGTCCGGTTGCATCTGACTCCGAACTATACTTTGAAACTTAGCCACTAGACGCTCCAGACCCTGGAATTAAAAAAAAGAAAGCTTTAGGGTGAACCTATAAGACATATTTTCTTTGACAGATATTATACGTTAGATATTCGACAGATTTGCTGTTTATGATACTATTTTAGATATTAACATACAGGTAGTTTATTTTTGAGGATAAAATATGAATAGTAAAAATAATACTATAAATTTAGTACAATCATTATTTTTCTTGATTTGTATATTTGCCCACTGAGGCTATTTGTATATTTGAGGTGGAAACTCAACACATACTCACACCCTCTCCTCACTCCTGCATCCGTGTACACGATACAAACACACATTATCCCACTCCCTCGACCCCCCCCCCCCCCCCCCCCGGGCCCGGCACCCACCTTGTGCAGTATGTTGGTGTAGTTGTCGGGCTCGAGCCATTGGTCGAGGCGCGCGACGGCGCCGCCGCTGCGCGTGAGCAGCTCCCACAGCCGCAGCGTGCCCGCGCCTGTGCCTATTATGCTGCGCTTTAATACCTGTACAGGACAATACATAATATTAAAAAAAATGTACAAATTCAATTATAATAAAACAAACAGCTTAACAACGTCCATCACCCGGTAAAACTTTTTACAGTGACATTCAGTGCCGGATTCAGCGTTAGCGCCGCCTCTGGGCACTATAAAAAATGCCGCACCATTATCGTAATTTTGCATAAAACTACGTACATACTACTGTATTAAGTAGTTAATTTTTTTAATATATATATTTTCGATAATAAAAAAATCCTTTTCGATAGTGCAAAGAACTGTTCAGTTAGAAAATAACAATTAAATATTTTATGGGTGTTTATATTTATAATATGTATGTATTTAAAGTTATATATGTGTAGTGTATCAACTATCTGGTATCCATAACACAAGCCTCGTAGCTTACCATGGAACTAGATGGTGCTGTGTTAATGTCCCAACATACATATTAATTATGATTATTACTAACCCACCCCCAGCAGTGGGACATTAAATACACAAAGACGCACCTGTAACTGCGCAGGAGTATGATCACCCCTCAGCAAAGCCAGCGCGTAGGTCTTGCAGCGCGCGGCGACGTCGGCGGCCGCGGGGCCCCCCGCGCCCCCCACGCCCCCCGCGCCGCCCGGGCCCCCGGAGGCCCCCAGGGCGCCGGCCTCCGTGGCCAGGCGGGCGGCGGCGCGCGCGGCCTGCCACACCGAGCAGGATACATGCGCCGTAGGGAAGGCGGTGCGCACCTCCTGGCCAAGGAGATAGGATTATTTGTAACATAAAACAACAATAAACAAAAAAAATGTGTTACATATCTTAAATAGGTTTGTGAGTAAATAAAAGTGCATAGAATTATCATACATTTTTTTTTTATATTTCAACTTCGTAAAAATAAAAATAAAGTATCAAAGAAGGTAATTTATATATAGTTTAAAATAATTAACTTAAAAAGTATTCTTTTAAAAAAAAAATAACCTTAAAACTAAGACTTCTTACATTAATTCTATAAATTACTAACGACTAACCCTCGCTTCGCTCGGGTTCGTCCCTAGCTTGCTTCCCAATACAAACTTTCATCCCCACTTTCACTCCCTTAAGGAAAAATTTCCGGGATAAAAAGTATCATATATCCTTCCCAGGGCCTCAAACTATATTCTTACCAAATTTCATCTAAATCGATTCAGTAGATCCAGAGATTATGTGACAAACTCACAAACTTTACTTTTTTTAAATATAAGTATAGATAAGTGTAAAAAGGTAGTAGTGGCTTAGTAGTAACGTGCTCGTTTGATAAGGCAAATGAAGCTGGTTCAAATCCCAAATTTAATTTTTACTTACTGTATTGTTATGTTATTATATATAAAATATTTATTTTCAAATTAGAGATATTTCATCTATACTTAAAATAAAATTGTAACTAAGCCGAATCTGTACATTAAATATTTTTTGGAAAATCTTATTTAAATAAACATTATTATCGATACAGAGGCTGAATCTATAGTTTTTTGAATTTTTGTCTGTCTGTCTGTGACCGCATCACGGTGATAGCTGGTTATCCGGGTCAACACATAGGATATTTTTATCGCGAGAAAATCTCTCATTTTTGAGAAAAATACAAAAACTGCAATGTAAGAGTAAACTACTATGTAAAACCTAAGAATTTGTGTTTTGTGCTAGTATTCTTTATAAATTTAAAGCTCGGGCAGGGGTCTGTTTGTACGCTTGTAGTAACATCTGCTACCAACGTCTTCGTAATTTGGAGGTACCAAACTTCTCGGTTCTGTGGTGCTTGGTTGACACAGGTTTCGAGCGAACAGTTTATGCATGCGTTTATCGTTCACATAGCGGTGTCCGGGAGACGACTCAGTTGTTTAATTACCTAAGCGAAAAAGCTGACATCGTCCAACATCGATATCCAAACGCTCAACTGGTATTTCTGGGAGACTTTAATGCCCACCACCAGGAGTGGCTGTTCCCATTCTTAAAAACTGATCATGCTGGGAGAGGCGCGCAATTTCGCATTATCGCTAGATCTCTCTCAGTTAGTTCAGGAAGCCACTCGGATACCGGATGTTGATGGACACACACCCAACTGCTTGGACCTTCTGTTAACAACTGATCCTGATAGATTCTCGGTCTCAGTTTCGTCCCCCTTGGGAACCTCAGACCACTGTCTAGTGAAATCTGTATCCAACTTTTACCCTCCTGCTCCAGACTCCTCAGTAAAGAGGCGGATGTGGCGATACAGTTCAGCAGATTGGGACGAGATGCGGCACTTCTTTGCATCTTACCCTTGGCGGCAAGTTTGTTTCTCTACCAACGATCCGTCGAGCAGTGAGAGTGCTATATCGGATGTGATACGCCAGGCAATGGAATATTTTATACCATTTTCTGACGTTTCGCCCGATGGCAAGACACATCCGTGGTACAACGCTGAATGCGCTGCTGCAGAAGCCCGTAAGCAATCGGCGTTTGTAGCATGGGCGGACGCACGTGCTCTCAATGCACCGGACGTAAAGACGAAAAAAAGAGAATTCAATATTGCCACCAAGTCCTACAAGAGGGTCCTGGGAAAAGCTCGTTTCAACCGAACTAACCGCATCGGGCGTAAGTTAGCTACACACCCTAGAATTAATAAAGCTTTCTGGTCCCTCGCAAAGTCGGTTGAAGCGAACTTCTGCCGTTCTTCGCTGCCGCCTCTGCAGAAATTTGATGGATCACTGGCTGTCTCTGCAACTGACAAGGCTAATCTTCTAGCGTCTCTATTTGCAGAAAACTCACGTCTCAATGCTGGAAACAAATTACCACCCACTCTTTCAACATGCGACTCCTTTATGCCAGAGATACGCATACACCAGCAAGAGGTCCTAAAAACTCTTCGTAACCTCGACGTGAACAAAGCCAGTGGCCCTGGACGGTATACCTGCAGTTGTTCTTTCGGAATTGTGCCCCTGAGTTGTCTCCTGTACTAACTCGTTTGTTTCGCCTCTCTCTTGCAACTGCTCAAGTCCCCAAATCGTGGAAAGTTGCAAATGTGCAACGTGCAACCAGTACAAAAAAGGGGTGTCGTGCTGACCCGGCCAATTATAGACCAATTGCGATCACGTCCATCCTTTGTAAAAGTATGGAACGTGTGGTCAATAAACAAGCTCCTTGCATACCTGGAAGAAAATGATCTCCTGTCCGACCACCAGTACGGCTTTCGAAAAAAACCGGTCTACTGGGGATCTTCTAGTGTATGCCACACATACTTGGGGTGAAGCCCATTGAAAAACACGGTGAGGCACTCGCCGTGTCTCTCGATATTTCGAAGGCTTTTGATCGGGTCTGGCATGACAGTCTTCTCAGTAAGCTTCCGGCATATGGGATACCCACTGGCTTTTGTAGCTGGATATCTGATTTCCTGAGCGAGAGGTCATTTAGGGTGGTCGTTGACGGCTGCTCATCTGACCTAATGGCTGTCAATGCCGGTGTTCCTCAGGGATCTGTTCTGTCCGCAACACTCTCCTGCTGCACATCAACGATCTTCTAAAAACCGGTATCTTTGGGTACGCTGATGACAGCACTGTTACGGGATAGATACTTGTCCAGTTCTAAAGCCAGTGCTTCTGAGATCCTTGAGCAAAGAGAGGCCCTTGGTGAATCGCATTGACTTAACTCTGAAGGAGGTGTCCGAATGGGGTGACGCCAATTTAGTTAAGTTTAATGCCACCAAAACACAAGCGTGTTCATTTACCGCAAAAAGGAGCCCCTTTACCTTGGCTCCCACTTTCCAAAATGTATCCATCCCGATAAGCGACCATATTGAGCTCTTGGGCATAGACATCTCACCCAATCTCAATTTCGGGAAATGCATCGAGTCAAAGGCGAAAACAGCAGCCAAAAAAACTTGGTATCCTGAACAAGGTGAAAGCGGTACTTCACACCGAGCAGCGCCTGACTCTCTATCAGGCTCAAGTGCGCTCGGCTATGGAGTACTGCTGCCACCTCTGGGATGGCTCTGCCAAGTATCAACTCGATGCATTAGACTCGATAGATCGCCGAGCTCGCCGTATTATAGGTGATCAATCATTAACGCAGACGAAACTGCTTAGTCTACAGCATCGACGCAATGTCGCCTGTCTATCGATCTTCTATCGGATATACTTTGGAGAGTGCGCGCAGGAACTTCACAACCTTGTGCCCCCTTCACCGTTTTACCACAGAACTGCGAGAAGTCGTGAGCGCTGGCATCCTTATGTGGTAGAAATCCAACCAACTCGCACGAAACGCTTTAGTTCTACGTTTCTGAAACGAACCGCTAAGGAGTGGAACACTCTTCCAGCATACGTGTTTCCTGCCACTTATAATCTAAGTACTTTCAAGGCAAGAGTGAATAGGCATTTTCTAGGCAAGCGCGCTCCAACCTAGACCTCATCAGTGCTTCCCAACGCTGATTGTAGTCAAGCGCAAACCTATCGTACAATAAAAAAAAAAAACCTTACTTCTACAAATACAATAGCTCAAAGGATTTAAAAATATAATTTAAAAATAAAAAAGGTGAGTTAGACCATGTTTGCCGTAGGTCATCACTTACCTCCTGACATTTAGTGGGATCGCACACAACGCAGCGCACCTGTCGCCACGCGGGATTGCACGACTTGAACGTTTCCAACAACCACGTCAAATCCTCTCCGATTAACGTTGATATACCTAAAACAAAAAAAAATATTAAATTATTATAAAAAAAATAAAAAAAAAATACAGTTGAATTGAGAACCTCCTCCTTTTTGAAGTCGGTTGAAAATATTAAATTATTATAAAAATATTAAAAAAAAAAAACATGCTTTTCCAGACTTGAATGTAAGAGAATTGTGAAAACATATATCAAACGAGTCCAAACTCGAAGGTGTCACTATACTGTACTCGCCGAATGGACCAAGCACTGAGATTTTTCGCTTCCACGTGATTGATTGCAGATAAGACGCTTAGGCCGCGATCACAATGCAAGTTATAATCAGTCCGCCGTAGCATTCCGTACCGTTCACACGTCTATCGTGTTGTTACATGATTTATTATCAACTAGCGACTCACACTAGTTTCACTCGGGTTCGTCCCTAGCTTGATTTCCCATACAAACTTTCATCCCCATTTTCACTACCTTAAGGGATTTCCGGGATAAAAAGTATCCGATGTCCTACCCAGGGCCTCAAACTATCTTCTTACCAAATTTCATCTAAATCGGTTCAGTAGATCCAGAGATTACTCCCTACAACGTCACATACAATCTCACAAACTTTACCTCTTTATAATATTAGTATAGATCAAATCTAATAAATAAATAAATAATAAATAAATTTGTCAGGACATTAACACACAGCACCATGTAGTTCCAGGGTAAGCTACGAGGCTTGTGTTATGGATACCAGATAGTTGATACACTACAAATATATAACTTTAAATATTCGTATATTAGAAATATAAACACCCACAACTGGAGTACAAACATTCGTGCTCATCACACAAATGAATGCCCACAGCGGGACTCGAACACGCGACCGCTGGCGCAGCGAGTAGGGTCACTACAAACTGAGCAAAACGTGTCGTCAAAAATTTTGATATTTTTCTCATTATACATTACCTGCACTAATTATAACAGATTTTCCATTGCCATCCTCTGCCAAGAATAACGTGACATTGTACTTGACACTAATGCTGTTGGAAGAGTTGCCCACTGTTGGGATTGGGCTGTTAAATTCTATGCCTGGGAATACAAAAAAAAAACAATTAATATATTATAATTAGAATAAAAAAAAAACAGTTACACTTATAAATAATAATTTCAGTGTTTTACACATTAAGCAAAAAAAAAATAAAAACTATTTAATTAACTGTCATATGTTGACATTTTACAGCTTTTTAAGCTTAAAAAAAAAAGAAGACATTTTAAATTCAGCTGAATATTTCATCCTACAGCCTCTTAACAATCATTCAGGCTATTGCCTTTATATTTTTTAATTAATCAGCTATCCATAATAAATCACCTACAAAAAAAAAAAACACCTGTCAGTACCAAAATTAAAATATAAACCTCTCACAAAGACAGATAAAATAGCACAAAATATGATAATAATAATTAATGTACATATAACGATAACTCACCAGTCTCTATGCAGAGAAACTGTGGTACTGCATTGAAAGCGAGTTGCATACTGGGTGTTGTCAGATATACACACTGTATACATCCAGACTGGGAGTGAAGGAGTTTTACACCGGCATCTATACATATAATAAAATAAATAATACATAATAAAATAAATATGTTGGGACAGTAACACACAGCACCGTCTAGTTCCATGGTAAGCTACGAGGCTTGTGTTATGGATACCGGATAGCTTATACACTACACATATATAACTTTTAAATACATACATATCTATAAATATAAACACCCATGACTGGGGTACAAACATTCATATTCATCACACAAATGAATGCGCCCAGCGGGACTCGAACCCGCGACCGCTGGCACTGCAAGTAGGGTCACTACAAACTGAGCCAAACGTGTCGTCGAAATTCTAACTAAATATAAATAGAAATCTAAAAAAGGCTGACTCGAAAAATTAAACATTGTCCAGAATCAGATCATTTTATGTGTCAATTAGAACTTATATACCTTTTTTAAATCAGGCGCAAATATTTGAAATTTCAAATAAAGCATTTTTTTTTTTTAAAGAAGTAAAAGTTATTTTATTATGATGCAACCACCATAACTTACCGTAATTAAGCTGTAACTTTCTCACAACATAATCACATTTCTGATGTAACCAACGCACAGTGGCTGCACCCGTCGCTTCTAACTGAGCCTCTGTTAATATTACTTGTGCCTCTGCCCTGGAAATAAAAAAAAACTTTATCTATGATTGTTTTTAAAATTGGAATGCCAAAAATATAGTTATGCATTTTTAGCTGTCTCTTATAATATGTGTATGTAACAGCCTACAACTATAGCCAACAATTAAAAAAATAGGTGTGTGTGCGTACTTATGTACACATGTAAGAAATTATACTTCCTTGACATAACAGAACCAAAATAGTTAAAGATTTCATCTCGTATGCATCATCACAACTCTCTGTTTGTAAAAGTAATGCAGCTAACTTCATCATGTCGCTTTTTGGCTGTCGTTGTGCGCGCGCATCGTAAAAATTTTACTCTCATATTTTTTTCCAAGCGTCCCAAAAGAAGTATAAATAAAAAAAAAATATGTATACTAAAAAGTAAAAAATAACTGATCGATAGCTTTTAATTCACTACAGATACCTCATCAGATATTTTAGAAGTCGATGCCAGCCGATACAAATCAAAGCACAACGACCTCGAAAATATCTGATTAGGTATCATCTTATATATAAAATTTCCATGTCACAATGTTTGTTACCGTACTCCTCTGAAACGGCTTTACCGATTTTTACCAAATTTTATATGCGTATTCAGTAGGTCTGAGAATTGGCTACTATCTATTTTCCATACCCCTAAGTGATAAGGATAAGGGTGGTCCTCCCAGACCCCACCACAGGGACGAACCCGAGCGGAGCGAGGGTGAGTCGCTAGTCTATGGCTAAAAATATAAAATTTCACCTTTCATTCGTGTCTCCTGGGTTTTCTATGATCGCTACTTCATACTCTTGACCTTCCTGTGCATTGTTACTGATTTCAAACTGTTGATATGTATTGCTTGTCTCCTCCACAGTTTGCTGGAAAGTAAATATTAACAAACAGTGCTAATTGTTATTGCAATTTAAATAAAACTATCTTTTCGGATTATATCGAGGATTTATTTTGATTTTTGGTTCCCGACGTTTCGAATGCTTTACAGCATCCATGGTCACGGGAGAGTATAACAGCAAAAATTAAATAAATTATATTCCATATTCAATTATAAAACTAATTAAAATTATAAAAATATTTAAAGTTAAAAAATATTGTAAGGTAATTGGTGCAATTTTCATTTTGTTAAATGTGGGTAGGCTGTCTGTAACAACTATACCTTCAAGACATGTAACACCTCAGTCTGTCCCGTGACCATGATTGCTGTAAAGCATTCGAAACGTCGGGAACCAAAAATCAAAATAAATCTGCGAAATAATCCGAAAAGATAGTTTTATTTAAAAATTCAAATATTCGTGTAAATCTAAGAAAGTATTATGTTATTGCAATGTTAAAAATCTTGCTAAAAATAAATTAAATTCACTTCACGCTTAATCCGCTGAATAGATTTAGATGAAATTTGGTATTGAGATAGTTTGAGACCCTGGAAAGGATATAGGATAGTTTTTGTCCCGGAAATCATCCCTTAGGGGGTGAAAGGGAGAGTAAAAGTTTGTAGTATGAATTGATCATTTCTCAAGGGATATAAAACTCATCATTACTTATGTATATTGCATATACTTATAATCTAACTATTCCATACAAAGTATCAAATCATACATAAATGTTACAAAGAGAGGGTGAGTTCTAGTGGAATTATGTATTACCTTCATATTTTTATATTACATATTGTAGAGCAACAAGAAGGGTTTTGCATAAACATACTTTTTATTGCACAGAGATGTTGGTGCCACCTTGTAGTGAGAATAGTCAAGAATTGTTTCTAATATTGTAAATTATCTAACTCATTATTTAAAAGAGCAGCTGTTGAGTTTCCCACTAGCTCTTCTAAAAACTGCCTTCTGAGCCAGTGGTTGTCAATATTGTCAATTTAAAATGCAAAACTGAAGATTCTAAAGCCAAAAAAGTCTATTTGAATAAAGTATATTTTGATATATTTTTTTAAAGTTGACAACTTACATTCATGATTAATTTTAATTCTTAATAATATATTGTTTTACTACTATTTGTGTTTTTGTTTGTCCTTCTTTCATGTCGAAACAAACTGACGGAACGGTGTGATTTTTAGTGTGGTGATAATTGGAGGGCTGGAGAGTGATATAGGCTACTTTTTACCGAGGGAGATCATCTCATTCCCATGAAAAAACACATTATAATACAACCCACAACAACTCATTATATATATATATATATTTTCCATACTATCCATTAAAACGTACCTAGGGCCAAACCCGGGCAAAGGGAGGGTAAGTCACTAATATAAGTCTCAAATTGATGAGAATTCATGACCAATCCAACATAATAAACATACTTGATGTGTCTTCTCCATTGTATGTGACATTGGCAAAGGAATCTATGCTCAATTGGCATACTTTAAGACATTAAGAAAAAAAATGAATTAAATTGATATATACTTAAGACTCATTAGGTACTTAAATTCGGCGGCCGTTTAGAATTGGGGACTTGGCCCCTAGCGGAGTGGGTGGTATTTCTGGATAAGGGACGTGATAGAGAGTCGAAATGTTAAATAAATTTTTTAATACAACAAAAGAGTCAAAAGTTATTGAGACTTAAAGTTATAACATTTCCATACATTATTTTGACATTACTACCATTTAGACACTTGGAGTCAAAACGTCACTTTCAATTGTCAAAATGATCTCCAGATGATTGTCTTTATTTGTACTTTGCGTGAAATTCGAATTTTCTAGTTTTCTAGTCATTTATGGCACTCGCCGGCCGCTACCGCGGCACGCTCGCTTCGCTCGCTCGGCTCGTGCGTTGTGGCAACTGTTCTAACCTAACCTAACCAAGATATGACGAATAATTAATAAATAATCTTAAATGTTCTAACCTAACCTAACCCAGATATGAGGAATAATAAATAAATAATCTTAAATGTTCTAACCTAACCTAACCCAGATATGAGGAATAATAAATAAATAATCTTAAATGTTCTAACCTAACCTAACCAAGATATGACGAATAATTAATAAATAATCTTAAATGTTCTAACCTTTTTTTTTTTTTTTTTTAACGTTGGGAAATGCATTTACGCACGACGTGTGGGACTCACCGGCGTAATACAGCCAGTACTACCCACTAAAACCCAACAAAACCTTCCCCCGTCTTAATGGGGCGTCGCAGGATCGCTTACGCATTCAACTACGACGCCCCGACGGCAGGCAACTTTATGGCAACTTTTTTTTTTTTTTTTTTTTTTTATAGTTGGGAAATCCTTTTACGGATACCACCCGACTTCCCCCGGGGTGGTTATGTGGAGACTCTCCGGCTAATGAGACCGGCATACCCACTAAAACCCAACTTTCCCCCTCTGCCGCCATGTGGGACGCCACGGGATCGCTCACGCATACAACCGCGACGCCCCGACGGTTGGCCGAAGCCACCAACCATGAGGCCGCCCCAAGCGGGACAACCCCATTATGGGAAGACTTACAACCCAACAAGTGAGGCTGCTCCTAAGTCCACTCTGCTGATCAGAGAAGTACCCGGAGCAGCCCCACAACACACAAACACCGCCCACCGAAGTGGGCAACCTGCTAAAATAGTTCCCCACCCAAATTGGGCAAAACCCCCTCCCAAAGACGCCCGAAAACGAGCCCAACCATAAACGGCTGCAGGAGAAGAGGATGCGACAACGCCGACACTCCCCTTCCCCTGCAGCCCCACCGCATCCACCATCAACGGTGGTGGCCCCGCTAGGCCGCGGGAGATAGGGACGAGCGGCGCATCGCCATACCGACACTCCTCTTCCCCCGCGGCCCCCCTACCGTCGGCCCACCTCCGGACCAAAATGGCTGCCGACATCCCTCACCAGACGCAGGACCACCGAACTGGCCCCGCTCCAGCCGCCGCACCGACGGGCTAGCCCCGGCAGTGTGGCCCGCGCAGCGCCTCCTACCGCGAAACGGCCGGAGACACCGCGCTACCTCCAAGAAGGAGACGGCGCCCTCCTAACGCCGCTCCCTCAACCCTCCCTCCTGGCTGTTGGTCCGCGCCGGATTGCTCCGGTACCACAAGCTCCTGTCGGGTCCAAACAGGTGCGAGTGGTGTTCCCCTATCCGCCACCCGGGGACGCGTCCGGTAGCAGTCAGCCTCTGCCCCGGAAACTTTATGGCAACTGTTCTAACCTAACCTAACCCAGATATGAGGAATAATAAATAAATAATCTTAAATGTTCTAACCTAACCTAACCCAGATATGACGAATAATAAATAAATAATTAAAAATATTCACAGATAAAAAAATGATTTTTTTTACTAAATGTACAATTGTAAAACAATATATTTTACATAAATCAGATAAAAAATCATAAATGTATTTATGAAATGAAAATAATATTTTTCTTTTTATTTATTTATTTATTAATATTAATATTTTACCAACAGAAAAAGCAAAAATAATCAAATATAATCTGTTGTCATTTAAGCGGTAATATAAAACAAAGTGTCAGTTTTGCTTTTGTCAAAATGTAAGATCATTTTGTTTGTGTTGTGAAATTATTAAAATATTAAATACAATAAAGCATTAATTGTTGTGAAAATGTGTAATGTACATAAAAAAAGGATGCGTACTATTCGTTAAAGGTATGTTTATCTGTTGTAATCACTTATTTAGGTAAAGAAATGTATGGAAATGTGTTAGATATGTAAGTCTCAATAACTTTTTACTCGTACGTTTCCTCCAAATATTTTTAATATATTTTGACTCTCTGTCACCTCCCCTATCTAAAAATACCACCCACTCCGAATGGTGGTAAAGAAATATATGAAAATGTATGGAAATGTTGTAACTTTAAGTCTCAATAACTTTTGAATCTTTTGTTGTATTAAAAAATTTATTTAACATTTCGACTCCCTATCACGTCCCTTATCCAGAAATACCACCCACTCCGCTAGGGGCCAAGTCCCCAATTCTGAATTTGTGCCTTAAATTCATTTACTCCTATAACAAACCTCTGTTCTTATTTGATTTTAATTCAATTCAAAATAACCATTTAATGCTGGAAAATAATGCACAAGATGACCAAATATATTAAGTTTTTGAAAGTATGTCTTTTCATATCTTCTATAATATAAACTTACATTATTTACTTCTGTTGTGTTTTGAACGAAAGTGCTGCCTTCCTCTTCTGGGTCACCTTTTACATCATATATAGTTTCCGCCATCACAATTCTCCCAGAAGAATCCATGGTCCACATCCCCCCGAACGCAAAGTTCGAGGGGTTTCCACTTTGTTCATACAGGATCACTGTGTTAGGTCCTAGCTGTACAGGTTCTCCCTTCACGTTAACAAAAACTGGCTGCTCGAAGTTCCCTTCAACCAGCTGCCCTGTATGGACGATCTGCTGCCCCTGTTCTATTGGAACCTCCACTACTTGGTTCACCTGCACATCGACTTTATCTTTTTCCTCTTCATTTTTCACGCGGTTCACCATCTTTTGTTTTTTTTCACTTTCCACCGGTTCATCACTTTTTCTCTTAATCACTGTTTTCTTTTTACTTTTTTTGTCCATTTTCACTATATAATATAACCACTTGCACTAAAACGCGCATATAATACGCCTAGACGAGGGAATATTACAATTTTTTTGATATATCGTAACGCCTCGCCCAGTGTAAGACATTGTTTTAAATAGCCTAATTTAATCTAAACGTAACAGTTAATGCTATAACTTAGAACACGACATCATTTAAGAAGTTTTGTAAACACTTAATCTTGTTTTGATTGTAATAAAATGAGAATATCTTGTGCGAAAAGGACAACTCACGGAGACGCCATTTCTAATCGTGAACTTAATATGGCTATCTCACTCTAAATTTATATTTTTCTTTGTCTAACATTTTTTATCGTTTAGAAATTTCTTTGGAAACATATACTCTGAAAATTGATAGCAAGATTTAAATATAAAAAAGGTCCTATACAAACAACTACCATTGTGAATTATTTATTTTTGGCCCTTTTTAAACGTCCCACCACAGGGCAGGGGCCTACCCTCAATACAAGGACGATCAGTACCTGGCAAAGCGCTGATTGGTGAACTTTACATAAATTATTTGATATTGGTCATTAGATAATTAATAGGTAAGTGTTGGATATGAAAAAAAAATTAAGTTTTGTAAGCTAATCCCATCCATATGAAATTGCAGAGCAGTTTTCATCATATTCTATGCTACCTTAAACCTTAAATGATAAGCCCTACTCGCCTTCTTGAAGACAAAAGTCTTCATGCAAGCTATTTCGTACAGTAGTTAATATTCTCTAACAAGTTAAACCCTCGAATTAAATCTTTTCAATAGTTATAAATTTTTTTTGAACCCACTAGATTTTTTACTAAAATTTGTTTTAGAACGAACTGTCAACTGACATTTAAATAATTCTACTGCAATTTATATTATTATTCTGTGACGAGAACCGTTCATTGAGAAGTCGGTCATCACGTTTTGCTAAGAATTTTCTTATTTTTCCATTATTTTCACAGTGTATATTTGTTATTTTATATAAAATACTTTCTTTATAATTATAGTCGGTAAGTAAAATTGTTTAACATTTATATTTAGCCATAATTTAAATACAAACATAGGACTTTTATGCAATATTCCAGTACATTGCGATTCGTATGAATTCAACGGCCTACTTCTTCTAAGCATTTATGCGGAACCGACAGGTTTAATAAGACGAGTATTATTTACACACCGCAGTACCTAATTAAAGTCTATTAAATGGACGATTGAAATAAATTAAGTAAGTTGTAGTTTCTGTTTAAACACAATGTCAACTTTCGATATTTATGTATTTCTCGCGCCATACGCAATAATTTTTCATGGTTTTTTTTATTAAAAATCATCCTATTTAACTGTATGATTAAACCGGTTTTCCTCAAGCAATATAATAACGTCACATTACGTTTTTTTATCGTTATCTAAAATGAGATAATGACGGGCTTACGAGGTGATTTTGCGAAAACCATTTGTGTTAGATTTGATTATCTGCATTCAGAAGTTAAAGGAAGTGTTAATAGATAAAAGGTTTCATTTTTAGTATTCTGAAAAGTCTAAAAATGGTAGTGTTAAAAAATGGAAGGTAATTGATTATTCAATTAATACTATTATGTGGAAATGTTACAAATTATTATTTGTTTTATTTTTGCTTTATTACTGTCAAATTCGTAATGATGAACAATCTAGAATTTGCCATTATATAATTATAGTTATTACGCCTTTTGAAAAAATATACCAGGAAACCAGCTAAAGGCCGAATTAGGTGGACACTCCCATTATGTAGATTTTAATGAATATGATGACCTTTTGGTTCTGTTATATATTTATTATCTAGTAAAAATCCTATCACAATGAAATAACTGATAATATATTTGCCTTAAACCCATTATTTTAAAATGGTTTGGACATTTTCAATCAACATCTAAGGCAAATGTCTAAAGGCACTAAGCCTCTACAAGATAGGGCCCTTGACAGTAATAATTTCTTATGTCAAATACTTTACAGGATTTCGAATGTATCCCGCCTTGTGTCATAAACTCAAATGTTTCGATAAACTACTAGCTAAAATCCTAACAGCGAATCTCCCAATAAATAAGAGGAAATTTCCAAGTCTTTCTCCATACTGATATTTTGAATGTAACTTTGATAGCACTAATCTCAGGAACTAACAGTTAAATTTTAATTATTCTTTTTGCACTTTGTAGTCTAATAGCTCTGGTGCTTCCCTAGGTGAGTTTTTGCCATACATTTTATCGCGTTATGTCTACTACTTATGAAGCGTTTTTCAATCAATCAATCGAGCAACTCAATGCCCAGTTTTTTACCGACATCAATTAAAGTTATTATGATTTCTGATATTAAACATGTTTATTAGAACAAAAAATAGCCTAGAACACTCTACGCTAATGTAACTTCCTATTGGTGAAGAAATTTTCTGAATTAGATCAGTAGTTTCAAAGGTTACTACCTACATCCAAACTTACAAACTTTATCTCTTTATAATATTAATGTTGAAGTATACTGCCGTCATAATAAAGAAGGCCCTAACTAACAATTTGGTCAAAAATGACTTAAATGCAGATTCGGAATCAACAAAAAAAAAACGCTACTTAATAGTCTTACTCATAAAGCTCTACAAATTAAGAATCCGGAGATACCATAACCATTTTCTTCGTAACTATGTGAAAAGAAGTATTAAAATGACATAGTAGTAAGACAAAACTTCAAATATCTCTAAATTAACATTGACACCAAGTGGCGGCCTTCCTTTTTATGACTGCAGTATAGATTTATTTAGCAGCCATATACTGCGTATGGGCTTTCCTTCAATGCGAGGGGGTTTAGACCATAGTCCACCACGCTGGTTAAGCGCGGGCTGGCAGACATCACATGTCTTTCGAAATTTGCTGGGTTCTCTCAGACATGCTGTTTCACGATGTATTCAGTCACCATCAGTAATCATGTTGGAAATGACTCGCCTATGGGAATATCAGAGGTGCGGTAGATTTGAACCCGCCACACTTAGTTTATCCAAGCGAGTGTTACCACTGGGTTACCCATAGTTCTAATTACTGGTAACATAAAACCCGACTGCATAAAAGATAACTAAAATGATGAAAAAAAGTTGAGGAAGGACCATGGTATTATGCAGTCGGAAAAATACACGTTTTATAATTGCCGCGAGATGTACATACTCGTATGTATGTTTCCGACTGCATAATACTATATTCCTTCGTCAACTTGTTTTCATTTTTTTAGTTAATTTTTATTTACAGATTTTTAGTTTTTGGAAATGAGACATTAGAAGTAATATTTACCAATTTTTCATCCTAAATTACTTTTAAACATATAAGTTGTATATATTTTTGTGATTGCCTCTTAATAAACTTTCTTTTGATACCCCACTCGATTGGTTTGGAAGTTTTGTTAAAGACAAAAATTTACGCCTGAAATCCGCCATTTTGATTTTTAACTATCTTTATATAGCCTAGACACTCGCGTTATTAAGACGACTCTAAGTCTAACGACGTGTGAATAATCAAAATCGGTCGACGCGTTTGGTCCCTAGAATGCCACATAGGGACAAACTTACATACATACATAGACTGATAAACACATTACCCTCCTTTGTGTCGCGCAGTCGGTTAAAAAAATATTAGGTATGTGCGTACGTTGAATCGGTATTCCTTAAATAACACGACTTGATCAGAGATAAGATTGTTGGAAATATTACTCTTTAAAATTATTCAAAGTGATTCGTGAGAAGGAAAATGTTGATAAAAATTGCAATACAATAAAATATTTTTAGAAGGCATTGTCATTGATATGAAGTCGTTCGAGGTTGCTAGCCGTTGTTTTGTGGCTTTGCTCGAGTATGTTTTTAGATATTGGCAAATGATAGCTTTGTAACTTTTAAATGAGTTAATTTTTTAAGGAAAATACTGAAATATTACTACTATTTTAAATGTGGAAGTTTGTATGTTTGTTACTCTTTCACGCTGAAACGGCTGGAACTGCTGGAAGAAATAATCTATCTTTTTACACAAGATATGTATATTAAATGCTGTATGTTGGTAAGCGCCTCATTTAAGAGAGTCTGGAGCGATTTAGCTTATTTATTTGAGGAAAAAATGGAAAATGCTGGGTAAAATGGAAATTCATTGTAAAAGTTGCAGTTTTAGAATCACGATATCTTAGGAATGGTGATTGTTAGAAAAAAAAGTATTACGACCGTTTTTGTAGATGATTTTATGATCTACAATCTACGGGATCCGTACATTTTTCCGGAATAAAAAGTAGCCTATGCGCTATTTTAGACTATAATCTGTCTTTTTTCTTTTAGTAAGCTACTAGCGACTTACGTTTTAACGTTTAGTATAGATTTCTCAGAGATGAGATATTTTCCCGCAGTAAAAAGTATCCTATATGTTGACCAGGATAACCGGCTATCATCATACCAAATTTCATCAAAATCTGTCCAGTGGTTTTCTCGTATGCGTTCCCAGACAGACGGACAAAAATTTCAAAAAACTATACAGATATTCAGCCTCTGTATCGATAACAATGACTATTTTAATATGATTTTCCAAATAATATTTAATGTACCTACAGATTCGACTCAGAATTTTATTATATGTATGTATAGCCAATTATATGTTGAAAACAAATTATATGTTGTATTGTATAGCCAAGCGATTACCTTTTTTAATAGTAATTTTTAAATCACGCGCTCGTCACGTATCGCGACGGCGGATGGCACATTTTCTTAATGAACTGTTGACACTGACTGACTGACTCAACCGATAGGTTCATCAAATTTTACACGAGATTTTCTTATATAACAGAGAGGTTTGGACAATTTGTCGTTTGGAGCTTTATTAAATAGGGGATAAAAGTTATTGGAACGAAAAAAATTCTCTAGGATACTCTTCCAGCTCCGTGTTTCTATTATCCATAGAAAACATCGATGCTCTGGTTGTTTTATATATGTAATTAGCGTGTAGCGACTCACTCT